AATAAAATATTACTGCACTGCACACTTGTTGTTACTATGTTGCATAGTATCTCTGGACAGTAGAAAACAAACGCTATGAAGAGATGACAATATCATAGTGATCTGGAGAAAATAATTGTTTGTACTGAATTTCATTTGCAAATGAACATACAAAATATAATATTTGAAACCAATAACTTTACCAAAAGTGGTGTTTTGCAATGGAATTTTAATTTTAACACTGAACTTTGCATTTGCATAATAAGTTTGGACACAGTCTAGTCATACTTAACCCTGTTCAGCCAACATATGCAAATTTCCCATGTACCTATTACAATTCACTGAAAAGACTTGATTATGCATACTGCCTCTTGACCCTCCACAATGCACTGCGGTCCCACCGCCATGCTAGTCCTTCATTTCTAAGCCGTGAAAACTACTCGAGCCAAAGTGGGGAAGGATGGGCAGGAGCGGCTGGGCAGGGTACATGTAAGTATCACTAAGGGACCCGACTCACTCCACGTGGGGGAGGAGTCTCCTGTGTTCACAAACCCCTGCCCAGCCTACTATGCAGAGTGGCACCGAACTCTGGAGGTGGGTCGGCGACTACAGTGTAGTTACTAAAAGGAATATAAGGCAGGTGTCGCAAGAGCGAGCACTCACCCGGAGAAACTCCTTAGTTGCATCTACTACCTGGCCGGTAACAGCACTGGACATTGTCCGGACCGGCGAAATAGACGCAGCGTCTGCAGAAGGGCACAACGCCCTGAAAGATCGTCCAGCACGCACCAGGATTCTTGTCAGTATTTGAAAACACGGTTGGCAAGGCCAGAACGGAGCGATTCAACATAGCTCCATTCTATCTTGGACAGGACCTTGTGGGATGAGGGAGATTGGGGGGAAGGCATATGCTAGAGGGCCCGACCAGTCAATCTGTAGGGTGTCTGTCGCCCACACCTGCAGGTGAGCGAAAATGGAGCAGAACGTCGGAAGGCAGGCATTATCAGTGGGTGCGAAGAAATAGAATTGAAGACGCTTGATCTGCACGAAAATCTGACTGACAACATTTGCATGAAGAGTCCACTTTGTCGCTCGGACAGCACCGAGAGAATACGTCTGCTGTGAAGTTGCTGGTTCCCACTATGCTAATCCCCTGATCGATTATCTACATGAAGAGCTGCCACGCAAGGGCACAGGGTTGAGGAGAGCAAGTGCCGCCCTGGTGATTGATGTATGTCACTGTCATTGATGTGTCGCTCTGGACTCGAGCGGAACGACCTACATGTACTAAGAGGAGTGGAGGAAGAGAGGTTCCCCATCCGAATAGTGACGCATCTGTTGTCATGGTTACATCTGAACTTGGAGGGACAAAAGTAAAGCCGGCCCACATGCAAAAAGAGGCTGAAGAATTCGCTAAGAAATGAATAATGAGCCTTCTTACATTGTACTATGTTCAAAGTGGCCGTTTGTATCCTTGAGTTAGAGGACTGCAGCCATATCATTACATGCATGGGGCATTAAGGTCATTCCGTATGCATTGGAAAAATATAATAACTGCAGGTAAGGAGTGCCTGAAGATGGAAGTTCACTCCAGGAATAGTATCCAGGTCAGCATCCAAGTATTATAAGATTTCTGTTTATTCACTAGAACAAAGAGCATGAGCAGATCAAGTGGTGAAATAGACAAAAAAATTGCCAAGTACCCTTTTCATTTTGAAGAGGTGTGGATCTGGATGGAGATCCTCACGCGGGGGATTTGGGTCAGGAGCAGTTGCCAGGGGAGTGGAGGTTGACTATAGTGGACAGCATCTCCGAGAGAGCAGACCTTTGTAATCAAATCAGATGAAGAAATATCTTGCTTAGGTGTAGAGCGAGATTTCTTGCATTTGGACCCTGCAGAAGACGATGAGTGTTTATGCTTATGTGTGGGTGATCCAGCCGTAGAACCCGCCGAAAAAAACCTGGGGTGTCAGCAGCATGTCCGGAAAGCAGGTTGTGATTGGCCAAATCCGGCTGAGCCATCAGGGAGCTGTGATGGAAGCACCCAGGTCGGATAACCCTAGCCGGTAGCCAGAAGCCGTTTTAATGAAAGGCGTTCAAAAACCAAGGTGATGTAGCAGGCCGATGGGTTCTGTAGCTCGAAATGCAGTCAGTAAAGAGCCGCTTCTGAATGGGCCGTCCCCAGGGACAATGGGACGTCGGCCCGAGGCATTGTAACGTCCAAGTGACGTCTGAGTGAACTGCTGTGGAGTTCGTCTGACGGCTGTAGTTCATGGCATGTGGCAGTCATTGTTGCTGGCCCGGGAGATGTGGGGCCATCCCAGTGTGATGAATAGACATCTTCCATGGTAGGTGCTGGTAGTAGGGAGACTGCCAAAGGACTTCAGAGCACAGGAACTGGAATTATAATAGGTACATGGGAAACTTGCATATGTAGGCTGGGCAGGGGTATACCAAAATAACTTTGAACAAGTACTTACAGAATGTTTTCTTCTTTTATGGATACCTCCACCAGTTCAGACAGAAATGTACCCCCTCCGAGTTCCCAAATGTGCGCAACATCCTTTGTCTATATAAAAGAGGAAAACACACAACTTGGATCAATCAAGAACAACATTCATGGGATGCACTTGAGGCGGAAAAAAATTACAATTGGCACTATTCTAGGTTACACTAGGGGAAAAAATTACGAACAATAGCCTTGAAAGAAGTTTCAGCTGTATGTCCTTGTGGCATTTCTCCTAGGTTTTACATAAAGCACTTGCACCATGGTTTTTCCATAACTTGCACTGCTAGTGGAAATAAAACAAGCAACATTTTGCCTATTAACAAGTCCTCCATTATCAGCACTGAATTACCAAAACACAAAAATAAAAGCACATGCTTGTAATAACAGGAGGCATCAGTCAAACTCTGTACATAGGGATACCAGTTTAAAATATGGCAAAATTTTTGACACAAATTCCACGGCCCAAGACAAAACAAACTTGCATGATTTTAAAAGCTACACTTTGTTTCCTAAAGCTCTTCCACTGTGATCAGTGAGGTCTCAAATTTGCCAGACCAGAATAGCAGTGAATAGCAACTACTGTGGAACATCGCTATACCGAACATTCAGCTGTACCAAAAATCGTCCTTGGCTACCAATATTTTGTGCACAAAACCTACCAAACATAATGAAGTTGCCGTTTGTATTTCCTGAATGTCAACTTGATAAAACAGGTGTTTTTTATGTTGGAGAGTGGCAAGTGACCATTATTTCCCCAAGGATTTGAAGGGAAAGCCACTAGTTGTTGAAGAATTAATCGTAATTAGCTAGCTGAGAAAATGGGTACATGTAATAACATGAGCCATTGGTCGGCACTTGTTCAAAGTCATCTTCTAATACATCCACAGCACGCAGCATTAATCAGCCAACGGAATTGAATGGACACCCCAATTTTTGCGACTCAACAATTGGGTGCAGAAGAAAACGCACATGCACCATGGCATTACACTAAAAATAGGCTAAAGAAAGCGCCGCTGATGCACAAGCCCTTGCTGAGCGGTACCTTTGGTTTTCTTTTCAGAACCAACACATGTTCAAAAAAGAGATAGATCCTGTGCAACTGCTCTGAGCCCCAACCCCCTGCCTCAAAAAGGATAAAACACAAATAAAACACACGCTTCTCCTTCTCCCTGCCCTTCATCATGTTGTCATTTATTATACATGTACATGTATTTATTTTATTGTAGTTACAAGTACATTTCATTCTAAAAACAACATTAAGGTTTAACAAAGATTAATTGAAACCTTAGGACAAATTTGACACTAATTTTGTAACTTAATATTTAATAAAAAACACAAACAATCAACAGATATACATTTTAGAAACCTTGAACGTCAGTGTAATGGCAAAACATCAGAAAAACAGCAAGCATAGTATCACCAGAGGGCGCAAGTTTTAACTTCTGAACGTGTCATGTCAAATGGAAGTTGAAAGTGGTGCAAATAAATGAGCTGAAGAGTTAAAAACAAGTTCAACTTACACTGGCTAGAAAAAAGTGATGGATGATTCGTTTTGGACTAGCCTTACTTACGCTTGCACAGTGCATCGTCTAATCATGTGCAACCAGATATATACATGTAAATATAAAAGTCTCCTAACATTGCACACTTTGACTGTCAATTGACTTAATGTCCTCAGGCAGTGTTAACAGATCCCTTGTTGAAAGAAACTTCATTACGTGAAATACTTGAACTATGACCTTTTATAATGAAGGTCTTCACTATCTGAAATTGAAAAATGGTGGCATCCAGAAAATACGCAAGAATTTAGCTGAGTGTTCCCCAACGTGAATTGATAAATTCTGCAAAATTAGGCCCCCAAAAGTAATTGTCCTTCCAGTTTCCCTATTTTTTCAGCATCAGAAAAAGGATGTGTTTGCGCGGTTACTCCTATTAACATGAGTAGGATATGTGCGCATTACACTCGGGTGCAGGAGTATATTCCTCACTGACCTGCGGGTCATACTCTGGCCGTTTGGCCACACAGGAGTATCTGTTAACAGGAGTAGCTTGCTTGAACGCACCCTAAATTTTCATTGGCAAGTTACAAAAACAAATTTAAAAAGTTAACAAACGAAAATAATAAATCCTGTTGTCTTTTCTGTCTTCACAAAACACCAATGAACAACCTTTTTTCACATTAAAATGCTTGTTTTTATATGTATTCCTGTTTAAATTTGCAACTTTTGAGAGGAAACTTTTATTTTCATGAGTTCCCATTATGTTTTGCTGTCACAGTGGTGAAAGTGAGCTTAATACAATGCTGTGTTGGTTCCCGCCACACCGCGCCTATGCTAAAGAACACATGATGGAAATGTGGCAACCAGTCTATACTTCCCAGCAGAAGTAGTCTCGATACACTACACTGTACATCGGCTGTACACGCACCAACCCTACAGATCCCTGTCGAAAAAACAGAGATGTTGCAAGACGATTTCTGCAAGTTAAACCAAAGAGCTTGTCTACGCATGTATTTTCTGTGTTCATGAATTTGAGATTGTTATGCTTGTACTTGAAGTGAGCATGTTCCCACAAAATTTCCTGCCGTGTCTCCAGGTTCATTGCCAACTTGTCTGGATCAGGCATTCCATATGCTTATCACATGACACACCACCATCGTTGGTCAGCTGGCTGTCGTGATTACCTAACTAGCGTGGTGCATAGTGGTGTGAATTGTCCATCATTCTTATGAATAGTCAACTGAAGACATTTTTACATAGAATAAAGCAAGTTTCAATCCATTTCTTTGGCAATTTTTGGAAGTGTTCGTCCTCATTCATGCCATTCAATCAACACAAAAATCGACCGAAAGGAAAAGATTCCTAACCAACCAACCCTATTTTTGAGATGCATTTAATCCAAAGCATGTTTTTTCTTGGCCTTATTATTTGCTCCACTTGCCTAACCAAGAGTTTGTTAGATTATTTTTGTATTTTTGGGTGCATTTATGAAAGAGGTCATTTTTAACTTTAGAAAAACATTTCATAGGAACTTTGTAGCAGGTTGAAATTTTTTAGTAAATTTAAGATTTGTGAATCAGAATGTTTCTGATTTCATTTATCATGAAATTCAAGGTAAAAATGTTGCTCAGCTAAAAAACGTATTAAGAAAGGTACACATTTGGCTTCCTTTATACCAAGAGAATCGCAAACCGATCTGATGTGTTCTAATATGTGACTAAAAAATCACACATTTTAATGATGTTATCATGACGTCACAACATTTTCCAAAGAGCCCACTCATCTACTGAGTCTATCCAAAGTCCTTTCCCACATTAAGTGTGGGTCGGGTCTACTAGAGAACACCTACCCAAACAGGCACTGCATATGCAAATTTCCCATGTGCGTATTATTCATTTGCTGAAAAGACCTGTTCACCCGTGGTGCACTCTGACCTCCCATAATGCAGTGCGGGCTCGCCACCATGATTGTCCTTTTCAAAAGCAACTCAAAAAAGGTCAGAGCCAGAGTGGGGAGGACGGGCGGGAGAGGGCTGTTTGGGTAGGTACTGGTATTCTCTGGTAGACCCCACCCACACTTAATGTGGGGAAGGAGTCTACGGCGCTCTACCTACTCAAACAGTCACTACATATGCAGAGTAGCGCCGGTCTAGGTGGGGGCTGGCAACGACGCATCTAATGCCGAGAATACACTTTTACATATAAGCAAGGAGGAATGTGAAAATTTAAGAAATGGTAAAAGAACTTCATAATGACTTGTCGTCCGTCCTATAGGAGGTCCCTTTGACCTCTGCACTGCGGACAGTAGGATTGTCCTGCCAAGTTGCAAGAGGCAGAAGACTTCCAAAATGCAGTTTTGCAAATGTTTGCAATCGAAACATCTCTAGAGTAAGACCAAGATGCAGATCCTACTCTTACGCCATAAACCCCGATGTAGTAATTACTATGTTCATCAGAGCTTAACACCAGACTGGATTAGCAAATCTAATGGCCGAAGCCATCCAGCATGCAATAGTGTACTGACATCGCTGGACGGTGTGGTCTCATGAAAGTGATGGGGTTAATATCATCCCTTCCATGCTATTCTTTTAGTCAGGTACCTTTTCAGGACATGAACAGGCCCCCAAAGTTTATCTGCATCGTCTTCAGGATGTAAGGAGGCTGAGAGTGTAAAGATATCGGAAGGATCAGGTGAGGGAGTCTGATCCTTTGTCAGGAAGCCAATCGAAGGAATGAGGTGAACACCACGTGGCTCTCAACAAAGACAGCCTTCGGCAATGGGGAGAGCCTATAGTTTACTGCCTCCTCAGGATGTAACCATTTTCAGGAGAAAGACCAACCTGACACAGGTGTGCGTAAGGCAAGCATTATTTAGGGTTCAAAGGAAAGACCGGAAAGCATCTGGAGAACCTAGCTTAGGTCTTATGACCAGACCAATTTCCCAACAAGGGGACACTGGACAAGCATATCATACAAAAGGTGATGGAATATCATGTTGTTAACCACTGCCTGCCGGGGACTCCGAAATCGGAGCCGTATGGTTTATATGCGTGGCCGGGGTCTCCGAACTCGGACAAAGGAAACAGGGCCCTGTAACAAAAGACCGTTCTCCGAACAAAAGACCAGGCTGCTGGGCATTACCGGCATTTTTCACTCTCAAAAGTGCTGATAATCCAGCGTT